TTTGCACATACGAATAACTATTGACAGCAAATGCTACCAACGTATGCATATACTACAACGAAATGCGGTGTTGCCGCGATCACAGTATTTTATAATGCAAAATATATTAATTTATATTTTGCTAAAATTAATAAAAATATATATTTAATATACATAAAACAATTTTATCTGTAATTTTAAGCATCAATTGTTACATTTTAATGAACTTTTAGGGTTAACAAATTTTCAGTTTTTCATTATCTTACGTTGGCACGTATGTACAATCCTACTCAAAAGTATCAAAAGTGAACATTAAAATAGCGCAAAATACACGTGAAAACTTTTCTGTAGTCATTAAAAGTATAATAAATAATTTTCTTAACTTATTTTTGTATAAATAATACCTTTCCAGCAAACAATCATTATCTAAATACTAAAATAGGTTAACGCTATGTTTCTTAAACTTTTGACTAAGACCTTACCCTGAATACAACCTTAAGCCTGCTAGACCTTAAATTATATGGTTAAAACTTATATGTCCTTTATTTCTTCTGTTTTTTTTCTTCCCGACTTTCTCAAAAGTCGTCCAACGTTGTTTTTCGTGCTACCGCATCTGCCATCAACGTTTCCGGACCAATGTTCCTTGTCTCTAAGGGTGACGGTGACATAACCCTCGCCCGGTTGTGGCAAGAAAGCCTCCATTGGTGGATTTCTTACCGGGAAGGGGGTTGCTCAAAACTTCACCAAACCTTCTTCTTGGGCTGGTGTTGTTGTCCGGTAGATTTGTGTCTAGGGTCAGAACCGTGCGTGACGTCATGCACACAGACGGTGATTCTGGCTTGTGTGCGTGTCTTCACCGCTCGATGCTCTCGTTGCTTTCTGCTCGATCTTGCAACTCTGTCTGGGGTCCCTAAGGGTACCGGTGACAAGGTCAGGTATTTAAAATTAAAATAGATAGATAAATATAATGTCACAGATAAAACGTTTATTTTCACTCTTCTTACAGGTACAAGGATGGTATGCTGTACTTAAGATATACACTACAGGAGAGACAATGTATAAAGTGTGGTATTAACATGTGGAAACGTTAATGAATAAAAAGTCGCCTGTATATGTGTGTATATGTATGTAGAAGAGAGAATAAAGCTTACGTAAAACTAAGTATAAAATGTGACTTATAGCCTGACCTTGTCACCGGTACCCTTAGGGACCTCAGACACAAGCCTACCGGACAACACCAGCCCAAGGAGAAAACATTTTGGTAATCCAGACTCTGAAAAGAGTCCTCCAATGGAGGCATCTTCCGCAGAATCAGGATTAGCGACGGTAATGTCGTACCCAGGAGAGGGTAGGTGCATGGTCGAGCCTAGGACAAAGGAAGCCGAGAAACAGCAGGCGAAAGCATCAGAGCAATTATTGGCTAAGGAAGATGAACCAATGAGAGTGGAAAATGCGCCAGAGAAGCTGCGCGGAACGTCGGACAACAATCGAGGCGTGGACAACACGTGAAAGGACGGCGAAGCGCAGAGAAAATTAAAATATTGTTTTGTTTGTATTTTTTATTATTTTGTGATTAAGGCTAAGCCTTGGTAACAGCGAGATCACCATAAAAGCGCTAGTGTTAGTTTTAGTATCTGGAATAAAGTTTTGGTTTATTTTTATTTTGTTTGCAATTTTAATTTAGCATCGTGCTACCAAAGATCCTAAGAACGCGAAAAAGGCGTTAAAAGCATGATAGGTATAGAAAAAATAATATGGGTAAATTTCCTACAAAATATAAAGTTTTTAGTTTTGTTATTTTTTAAAAGATAGGCGAATATAGCCCACGTACAAACTATAATTTGATAATTTTAGTCAGTTTTAGTTTTGCGTACTAATTTTAATAACTTAGTTGTAAGAGTGATCCACAAGGGTAAAATAAGAAGAGTGGAGTGCCCCTAGTAAAGATACACAACATACAACACACACAAACCCAAACAAGTACACTACATAGATGTAACGGTTCTATTTTTCGGGAGAAAATATTCCGTTGTTTTATATCTTTTAATAGCTGCGGAGTAGCTCGTCGGATTCAGGGAAAGGTAAGAAAGAGAGTGAACTCGGTGATTTACAGTAACAAAATTGAATAAGATTTATTCAATAAAAAACCAAGAATTAAAAGTGATATGTACAAAAATAACGAAATGCAATGTAAATAATACAATAAACCGAAGAATTAACTGTGCGGTGCTTCCCAAAACGGTGGGTGAGAAAGTAACGGTTTTAGTCGGTCTACCCGGCGGAGAATCGGAAGATTCCCCCGGACCGCAGCGGATGCCAGTTTACCCGGCGGAGACTCGGAAGATTCCCCCGGAGCGGAACGAAAGCCGGTTTACCCGGCGGAGAATCCAGAGATTCCTCGGAGCGGAGCGGAACGGATGCCGGTTTACCCGACGGAGAATACACGATTCCGGGCGGGTTCCGTTTGACCACAGTACGATTCGACACCGCTCGATTCGACACAGATTTATTCGACAC